AAATACACACGGGAACCCGCATCAATAATGACGATTCTATTCACCGACGAAATTCAAACTTTTCTTTTGTGGCGATGAATATTGCGCGGCACGCATATGTACTGTAAGATTTATGAAACTTGACCTTTGTTAAAAAAATAAATGCGTAATTTTATTGATGCGATTAGAAGAAGCTCAAGAATTAATTGCTTCGTCGAAGTTTTCTTTTACAAAGTCACTAACAGTTTTGCTCGAAATGTATAAAAAATAAACCTAACAAGAAGGCATGCATTAACGACGGTGATTATGTTCACGCATGACAAAATTTACGTTTTTTTTTCGCAGCGATAAATGTTTATGTGACACGCGACATTACTTTAAAATTTCTGAAATTTCAGTTTTTCATGTTGAAAAACTAAATCACCCGGAAGAAACTCGACAATTAATCGCCTCGAGGTAACACTTCCTTTTAACGGCGCCTAACAATTCTGTTCAAAATACATAAAAAAGTACTTAACATAGACATCAACAACGACGATTATATCCATCGGTGACGGAATTCTTTCACTTTTTTCTTTCGTAGCAATAAATGTTTTATAGCAATGAAATCCGACTTCTCCATGTTGACAAAGTCGCATAATTTCGTGAATTGATTGGAAAAAGATCGAAAAATAATTGACTCGTCGAAGTAACGTTTCCTTTCGCGTGATGACACTTGATGATTCTCTGGCAATTTACATGGTTTTTGCACGAAAACAGAAGTCATACAATGTCGTTTTACCTTACGCGCGTTTTCTTGTCGCGTGACTAATAATAAGCTACTCTTCGAGTTCGTAATAATTTAGCTGGTAATTGCAGTTGGCGATACGTATTACACGGCTCTCTTGCACAGACCCCGCATTGTCGAGGAAAATCGATATTTTTACGGGCATATCAGTGCATACATGAGATCATTGAAAAATCACGCGAGATCATTGAAAAATCACGCAACAGACTACGTATTCTATTGATTTACGAGCGAAATGTGAACTCGCAAAGTTGCGTGTATTGTTGATCGAATCGCTTAAACGAGATAAAGAGCATGTTTATTAATTGTATTTATTCCGACAGGATACATAATTTCATCATATATTTTTGCTAAGCTTTGAAAACATACAATGCTCCATATTAAATTGGAAATGACTTTGCAATTCATAGGCATATCCAGGATTTTTTTTCAGGGAGGGGGGTTATAAATTTTCTTAATACATAAATAGCAATTTTTTGCGTTAATAAATTACTTTTTTTGGATCTTTTAGAGCTTAGAATATTTGTTCCTAATTTTGAATAAAAAATATTAGGTTTTATAAATCATAACTTTAACTTTAACTTTAACTTTTTTTTTAATTTTGAGAAAGATTTGGCAAATTCAAATTCCTTTCCTGAATACGTCTATGTAATTCGTCCGAACTTATTCTATGTTTACACAGAAAGAACAATTTTATTGCAATATCTAGGAATTTAGCTAAATATAACAAATTTGTAAATAATTTTATTAGATCATGAAAATAATTATACAGAAGATTTAAATTGGTTGTTAAAATATAAAAAATATTTGTAATATCATTATCAAACTTAAACATCGTCCATAATTATCTTGATGACATAAAATTATTTTCAAATTTGTATGTGACAGAATTTGTAAATATTTCAGCAAAATTGTTATTTTATTTAAATTAGAATATAATTGATGATCCATACGAATCTCTGATGATCCTGTATGATCTCGCGAAACTACAAAACTCACGAGGTTCTCGTCGAATAATCGTCGCTGAATAACCGACGGAAAAGTTGGCTGTCGTTACGTGAAAGATAAGAGAGGGTTAATACGGACCGCATCTTATCTTAACGGCACGCGGAATATTCATCTCATTTAACCCTCTCGTCCCGTGGGATACGTTTTACAACGCGAAAAGCGATAGCCACGATTGCGCGATTGAACGAAAATTGTCTTGCAAAATTGTTTCAAAGCAAGGAAAGCTAGGAAACAAAAGGAAGGATGGATCAATTGACTCTTTCGAAGTTTCATGATAACTCGTAATCTCGCGAGAGGATTGCGTTTATAAATTTCGACCATTTTGGCGAATCGAACAAGAATCAGCGAGTTTTCGCGGCATCACGGAATAAAACTTTTAAGGACGGTTGAAAACGAGAAAACAATGCAGTATATACGCGATGGATAGGATGAAGTTGTTTTCTTTTTTCCGTCATGTTTTCGAGGGAGGTCCGTTTTATTTTGAAGCGTCGCGAGTTTATCGACGGCGAATGAAAGTTTTAAGCGTGTCTCGCTGTTACATGGAAAAATTTATACAGCATGTAGAAAGAAGAATTCGTATAGCGCATCCCTTTTTTGAAAACAAACGATCCGCGAACTTTTACAAGAATATTTGTAAGATCGGACGAAGTACTCGAAGAGGTTAGTCAATATTATTTTTTATTAAAAAAATAAAAGTGTATAGCGAGAGTTTGAATTATATAAGCTATTTCGCTATTCGTGTCAACTTTTATTAGAATCTAGTTAATATGTTTTTATTGAATATGAGTGATAAGAATGCTAGTTAAATATCGTTAATATAATATACTTGATACTCCATATTCATATCTCATTTAAATGCGCATACGTTACATATACATATTTCAGAAATAGACGCATTTATCGATAAAAATGAAGTATGAATATGATCTTTATTTCTTTTTATTGCACTTAATAAAAAATAAAATAAAATAATGTACCGATAAAAAATGTTCTATATATAATGATACATAGAATATATTTATTTATAAAAAATTATTAATATATAATTACATATAATTATATATTGATGTATATGTTTATATATAATCACATATAGCTATATCATCATATATAATTATATATCTTACATTTAATTATATGTTAATGAAAACTCTTTACCGGGACTTTCGTTTTGGAATTATTCCTCGCCAAACAAACGATTTGAAATTCTTCTACTTAAAATATAATTATATTCTTTATGATATAACAATTTTAAATAATATAATTATGATACAGACAAAAATTAAATTAAAGAAAATTCTGCGGCTTTCATCCATTTTCGAAGTATCGCGCTGCTCGAGCGTGGCTACGAGATCGTCGAGTGTCGCACTCTGTTGGCGTCGCGACGCAACATCGTCGACGTCGTTGCAGCTTCCTTCCGGACCGCCGGCGTCGACACGATCCGAGCGCACGCGCGCGCGCGCGCGCGCACCACACAAAGGGAAACACATCGCGAGGAATCGCGGGGAAATCGCGCGGAGCGAAGAAGAACAATCGGACGACGCCAGACGCGGCTGCGCTGAGCGTCGCGGCGCATGCGTCCGTGACGTCGAGACGCCGGATAGAGACGCAGCGAGGCGCGGAAGGGAGAGGGACCGATCGGAGGGATAACGCACAGCTGGTACTGACTGGCGATTGATCCCGCGCGGCGGTCGGCGCCGCGAGCTCAGTCGTTTACGAACCGCCGTGCAGCTCGGATCGGTGCTGCCACCTGACGTGCGAACGGAAATCGGAGAGCGCCGAACGGAAACACATAGGTCGTCGCGAACCGTCTTCGTTCTCTTCTTCGCTCACTCGCCCGCGAGATCCCAAGTTCGCTGATCGCGATCGCGACCTTTCTCGACGTCTCCAACCCGCGATTCGAGTTGTGAGAAACCGAGTCGGTAAGGTGATCTCGCCAACTGTGTTTCCCCTCGCCCCTCCGCTGCCGGCGGTCGGGAGCGGAGGAAGCGCCGCTTCGCGAACGCTTATCTGTCCGGGTGAAACGACGACGACGGCGACGACGACGACGACGACGACGACGACGACGACGACGACAACGGAGACGACGAAACTGAGTACGTGTACGTTCTACGCGCGACAAAGAGGAGGCCAGGAGACCTAGGCCAGGTTACGGCACGACAAGACTCGGAGTCGGAGCATGTGAAAATGGATTTTAAAAGCGTGGTGTACAACGCTGCGAGGGACGGCAAGCTCAAACGGCTCAAGGTGAGTATTCTCGCAATTCTGTTGACGCGCGCAATGGTTACGTTCTCCTAATGACGCGTCATATCGCGAAATGCGACCCGACGTTTCAACGATAGTCCCTCGAGGTCCCAGTGTAATCCAAGCGAGCCGAAAGTTCGACGCCATGAACGCGCGCGAGAGAGTGATCCATATAACTCGGTCGCAACCACGATAAATTTGGAATGCGACAATTTTGGCTTCCATCGCGGTGAAAAAAAATCGAAACTCTCACCGGTTTCAACTCTCTGCCGAGGAAACAGACGCGGGAAAAATCTTTGCGATTATTAGATTCCATATTCCATTATACACGACGCCGACTGTAATATCGTCACGAATCGAGTTCCCGTTTCCCGTTTCTCGAGTTTGCAACGTTGTTGGCGACGGTTTCCGGTGGCCGTCTTCTCTCGAGACGCGATGCTCTTTGGCATCGAATAGTCGCGATGTTTCTAGATGATTCGCGATGCTGTGTAAGATCCGAATGATTTCATATTCTCGCACGATAGATACCTGAGTTTTTTGGGCTCCACATATTCTTTTTCTAGACAAAGAAGCGACTCTTCGCTCGACATGATTCTTCGTTAAAAATGGCTTGAGTTAAGTTTCTACGATGAAAAAACGTAGAACGCGCCCGCTTTATTCCCTCGAATGCTGCTACGTCGCGAAAAGCTACGCTGACGCTTGAGACAGAAATAAATCGAGATATTTTTATTAGACTTTTTTCGCCGATATTTACGACGGTACGAGAACAACATTGGAAATACACGCAATATTTTCTCGCGGAAACAAACGAGACCTGATTTGACCTTTTCGAGTTGCGGCACAAAACAGCGTCTCGCGCATTGCTTTCGATGCTCCACTTAAAGCTTCACAAATGATCGCTCGTTTGATAGCCGAGGCATCTTTCTATACCACGTGAGCGAGAAAAATATCGACACGAGTGACTGCGTGAGCTCGGAAATCGCATCCTTTTTTAATTATATAGCTGTGATTATTATTATATTGTCTGAGGTTTTATATGGATCTTACAGGATTAATAATACTATTAGTAATCGGTATCAATAAATACCGACAATATTGATCGTGTATGATTAGTATTAATAAATTAGCTTGTTATTTTTAGCTGAACTTCTTGAATTATTTATCTCTTTTTTTCTCCAAAGAAGAAAGACGAAAATTATGCAAAAAACATTCAGCTAAAAAGAACAGATCTATTGATGTATTGACGGTTATGCAGCTTTCTTAATTCTCGAACATCAGTATGCTATATATGGAAGAAATATTAATAATATTAATTACATAAAAAGTGCAGTCATTTAGTATTTTATAATAATAAATGTGCCATAGTTTGATATCACAATAAATATTTTTTTACTGTCATATTTTGGAGAACTTCCAATGTTTTTTATATTTTTTTCTCAGATAATTTACATAATTAGGTAATATACATAAAACTGAGCTGAAATATTCTCAATATCGATCATGTAAAATTGTAGAAATATAGATATACTGTTAATATGTCAATATTACTGATTCAATTTTATTGATCAATATTATGCATTCCGACATTCTTTTCTGATACATATATTCACACCATGAATTTGAATCGGATATTTCGAAACAACACCGACAATGATTAATCTGTAACCGATACCCGAGATATTCAGTGATCCCAACGAGTTTTATTTTTTATAATAATTCTCTATTCGTGAAAAATTAAGGCTGTATTATAAATCTAATCGTGATCTAGATGGTGACAAAATACTAGTAAAGTATTTCAATTAACGCATGTTTTCTTCATGTTAATGTTTTCCTCTCCACTTTTTAATATTATGTTAAAAAGGAACTGAAATCTACTGGCAACTTGAAAAAAAGCGTAGTTACGGATTGAAAAAAAATAATAAGCTAAATATTTCTAAAATAATACTTCATGTTTGGAAAAATATAATTTTTCTCAAAATGATAATAAAGTTGAATTAGATATACTTTTGAATAAAATAAATCCAAGCCGTCAGATACGCAATAAAATGTAATTTTCAAATATGAGTTGCCATTTCAAAAATTAGTTTATCGTTCTCGATTAATTTTTAAATATTGTCAGAGTTGTTTTAAAATATTCTGTATATAAATACTATTTTAATTAAAAATATTCAATAAAAATATTACCTTTAATTTAAATAATTTAAATAATTGATGGATTTAGATTCGAATTGTCTGTTCACGTTGTATCGCATGATTAATAGGAGTTATAAGAGACGAAAACAAAAGAGTATCAAAAGATAAATAAAAGGAAAAAATAATCAAAGCAAACGAGCCATAAAAAAAGATACGGCCGTGACGATTATCTTTCTACTTAAAATGCGACGTAAAGTGATAATTCGATCATTCCACAGAACGAAGTATACAGACGGCCAAAATACTGATTAAAATACTACTCGATTGCGTTTCTCTGTTGGCGCACGAATTTAGGGTAAATATTAGCAGCTCATGACGGTACAGACAAGTCGGTTTGCTTATGAAATAGAAACGCGCGGTGAATGCGCGGTCTCGCCGAAGCGGAATTTCGAAATTTCGAAATTACTTTATCGTTAACCGGTTGCTATGGGAATGGGTGGAAAATAGCTCTAATAAAGATTTTCAATATTCGTCGATTTCATTAGCTTGAGTAGCCGACATTTATAATAAGAATTCTTAATTATTTAAAATTGTTTCACGAAGACGTTAAATTTTAATCGACAAACTATCAAACTTAAACTTATCAATAATTTCATCAATTTCATAAAACGTTAAACGTATTGAATTAAGCGTATTAAAATATTAATAAGAATTTTATTAAATCAAAATTTATTCAAAAATAGAGCAGATGACTCTGTTCTTTTCAAATTCAATTCCTATTTTTATTTTTAATTCTTCTCTTCAATTTTTTCTGTCGTCACGCGTGCTTGCACATCTATTTTTGGGATTTTATTGTAAAAAATGATTGGATGATTTATTAAAATTTCAGAAATAATATTAAAACAATTTCTAATATCTCATTCTGATTTAACGAGCGTCTTGTGTAATTTTCAAGCGATATAACATTCGAGACCTTGAATACTGGCAAGATTGCTCGCTTTCCGGTTTTCTCCAACAATTTTATCGACGTCTGATGCCTGCAACTTTTCCTTTGTGAAACATCTTCACGAATGGCGGCATCAGAAGTTTTTCCGACCTTAGAATTTTTTCTACCGATACATTGTGCGTCCATATTCTTTCGCATGCGCGTTAACAGACCGTACTAAAGGATCGTCTTTAACGGTATCTCGGGTGGTTTCGAAATGTCTGGCACGGTTAACCCTGCAGCAATCTGTGACGGACTCGTAACATCGCGTTGCAAACACGTTTAATTCAACAGACCTCTATAAAACTGATATTTATTCTGGAACGTTGAATTCTCGCGTGTACATATTTGTAAGATATCTTTAGACTTATTTCTATCGCGTCGTTAACCGCGTTATTTTTAATGATACACATTTCTGATCCATTTAAAGGTGGATTTCGATTTAGCGAAAGTGTCAGAAATAAAACACGTTTTATAATATGTATAAGATATTCCTAGAACTATCAAAAGATCTTTAAATCCAGGCGATTGGATCTCTAATTGCAATTACATTTCTGAAAATCAACGTATATATAAATTCACAATTATCCCAGATATATGTAAAATTTACTATTTTCTATAATTGATATTAACTTTGAAATTTAAAATTTAAAATTTCTATTGGTGAACTATCTCTCGTTATTATTTATTACTATTTATAGTATTCATGATTCAGGTTCGTAAATATTTGATATTATCAAGAAATATTAATTTAATTCCAACTGTTCGCTGTTGCATTGTAAACGATTTGTTCAAACAAAACGGTCGTTTACTCATTCTTTATTGATGTCGCGCTTGTCGGAGGAAAAACCTACGGACACAGAAAGATCCTCAGAGTTATAAATATTTAATATTATCAGACCAAAATATTCAATTCCTATTGTTCATCGTTGCCTCACAACTGTTGTTTAAACAAAACGGTCGTTTATTCATTCTTTATCGATGTCGATGGAGAAAAAACTTACACACACACAGGAATGTGTTCGGTCGATATTGGTTTATCGTTTCGATAACTAAGGCGTCGATACGTGACGTCGCAATGAAAGTTGGCTGCATTCAGCAGAAAAAGTAGCTTTGTAACTCTCTGTAAAACTCTTTAACGTGATTGACTTATACATTTAGATATCCAGTGGGGAACCAAGGACAATAACCAATTATATTAAGGAATGCAATCACATCGGTTGCAAAGCTGCTCCTTTTTGCAATTTTCTTGCAGCTTGCTGAACGAAGCCATTGTCGTGGAAAGCGATCCATCTTCCGTCGGAGGTCCACGACGAGAGTCAAAGACGCGCGTGCCTCTCTTCCCTCTTGACTCGCGTTTATCTCGAGTAGGAAATAGCCGCGGCGAGCAGCGGTTATATTTAGTAGCGGGACATTCATAGACGCGGCAGAATCCGCAGCCAGTTCGCGCGACCCTTCGTGTGTGTATATATACACACATGAGGTAAATAAAAAGAAAAAAGAAATCCAGAAACAACGTTGTAGGAGCGAAGTCGAAAACTCGACGCGGCGAGTCACCTCGACAGCGGTCGGATGACTAACGCGAAAACGAAACGAAACGCGTGTCTTATCGATGAAATCGGCATTGCGCATCTCTTCCTCTTCGCGGCGGCGAACACGTTTTCACGTCAATTGCGATGTCAAATACGGCGGTAAATACGCGAGATTTATGCATTACGTATACACAGCGTCCAGTGTTCGGTCGACAATATGTAATCGCGACGTGCACAAAATATTCCAACGTATGCCAACGTCATCGATATTACGCATCGTCTTTGCAATTAAAATCGTCTTGGCATTAATCATCGGGTTTACAGACGCGTTAAAACTTGTCTGACGTCGGTGC